AGGAAAACATCTGCTTTACTGCACATGTAGTGTTGAATTAGAAATCCAAATTCTGCTGTGCCTTCCCAGCCTGATGTATCATCCTTCTTTTCTAAATACTAGTCAGATTCTGTTCAGTCTCACCAGAACTAAAGACTTTGGTATTTGAGAGTGTTTTATCAGTACATTTCTTACAAACTGGTGTATTCTAAGGAGCAAACTGAAATTTTTCAGTTGCTGTAGTGGTTGATGTCATCCAACAATGCAACACATTGTACTATGTCTTTAATCAATTACAGGGTATCAATAAACTATTTGAAATGTTACATCTGTAAATCTGAATGGTCAAATCTTTAAAGTTCAGGTGTGAACGTGTGTGAAAGTTCAGTTACGTTATACCTCAGAGGATAAAATGCTGTAGAAAAAACAAAATGGATAAGTTTTTTGGTAACCTGTGAGATGCATCACTGATTATGGTGTTTACTATAGGGTCAGTTCTCCTAGGGTTTGCAGTGTAATAATATGTGGGTTAATGTTGTTAAAACACCATTGTTGCCTTGTCTCACAGACTTCTACAGCTCATTTTTAAAAGGGCAATAGCATCCAGATATAGTCCTGCTTTTCTACACAAGTTGACTTTGCTAGAGTGCTTTTAAAGCATTTTTTCAGGGTCACACCCGCTGTCATAGCCTAAAGGGTTACCAAGTGTGTAGGTATATAGGGGTCGTGACTGTGGGTTGGTAGCAGTCTCTAATACTCAAGGACACGGAGACGTTTTACTCTAAATTTCTCTATTTGTTACAGATTGCTACAAATACCATAAAAATCACCTCAATAACTATATGTATGATTTAAAAAGCGAATCTGTATATATTTTCAGGTCTCTTCTGCCATGCCTGCAGGGAGAGGACTGGAGGGAATGGTCATAAGATGAGACAGGGGAGATTCAGATTAGATGTCAGGAAAAATGTTTTCCCTGTTAGGGTGCTCAGGCACTGGAATAGGTTGCCCAGGGTGGTGGTGGAGTCACCATCCCTGGAACTGTTTAAGAGGCATCTGGATCTGGTGCTGGAGGATATGTTTAGGGGTTCCAGCAGAGTGGCAGGTTAATGGTTGGACTTGATGATCATAAGAGTTTTCCTTCAGCCTCGATGATTCTATGATATGGGTGAAATCTGTTATAAATTATTGGCAGCAATCAGTAGTATGGCAGCAACTGAGTAGGTGTATGCTATTACAAGTTACTACAGAGTTATCACAAATGAAGCAAACTTTCTGATAATGCAACAGAAAATGTAATTATGAATGGTTACTTTTATGCACATATATGTATTTTTACATTATTACCAGTATCAAGCTTGTTGGACAGATCTCAGAATGGGCCAAACAATCCCAGTGTGGGAGGACAAACCAAACCCTCTTCGGTGAGGGTCCAAGATCACTTCGAAGGTTTGTGTGGAGAGTTCAACCTGTTTAGGAAAGGAAAAGTAAGTGCAGCATGGGAAGTTCTTAGAGAGAAAAGCTTCATTTTGGATAAAAATGAATTCATGTTTATATCATACAGAAATAAGGAGGTGTAGAACACTGGCGCTTCAGCACCAAACAGATGCTGTTAATTTCTGGTTTTCACTCAGAATAGCTCATAGATGTTGATGTTTTCTGTTCTCTCAGGCCAATTTCTATTTTTCTAGACTGTTTTCTTATTCTTGCAGGTTGAACAGCCAATGGCAGTTGGCAAGTCTTACTTTCTCAGGATGTTTTCCTTCTTTTCAGACTATTTTTCACCTTTTCAGATGATAAGTTGCTATTATAGTTCCTTATTTTCATGCTTATCAATGGTATCTCATGATGTCTCTGGTTTCTAGGTACCCAGCTGTGCACTTGAGAGCAGCCAGCTGCACGTCTCAACAATGCTTCTGGTTCCCAGGCCGGGTTCCCAGGCTTGCCAGCATTTTCTCTGTCAGTATTTCAGCAGACACTTTCTTCTGTTAGCAATTTTCCCCTTCTAACCAGGTCACCTTCATGGCTGTTCACATCACCTACATGTCCAGCTAAGACATGCACGGGGCCTCTTGCAACATTTTAATGTTTCTTGCCCAGCAGAAGATAGTGAGCTGTGATTGATATGCCTGGGAGGGAAATTATGGAAGCTGATTAATCTTGAAGCTGAAGCTTGACCCTTTATGTTTTCCCCTTTTGTGTGAGGGCAGAGAGGGGAGGATGTTTAAATTTTGGCTGTCTGAAGATGAAATCCAAGGAGCACTCCATTCACATCATCAAGGAAGATACTAATCTGTAAAGCTCAGTCGACAGGTGCCATCATAAAATGTTCTTATGGATTCTTCTCAGGGGTCCATGACCTTCACTCTTTGTAGCCAACTTCACTCATTCTGCAGAGGACTCCTCAGGGATAGAGACATATCCTTTGAAAGTTCAGTTCAGCTTGGCCAAATGGCAGATTATTTCAGGGGAGAGAG